TGGAGCCCAATTCTAAAAAAGCTTATGTCATCATCAATAGGTATTTTAATTTTGTAAGAATTAACCTCTAAGTCCTTTAAGTAGGAGTTTTCAACACTGAGGCTGATGAGAAGTTTCAGAAATGTTGGAAAATTTAAGCTTTTCAAATATTAGTTACAATAAATTCCAATTTGTAAGTATTGGTGTATTTTAGGTAAAAAGATTGATAAACTTTTCAGTAGTTTGCTTACCGGAAAACCTCAAGCGGGGCAAGGACAGTAGCAATGATGTCCCCAGAATGAGGCGTCGAACTTGTAGAGGTAATTGAGATTTGGATAGTCCAAGCAAAGCGCAGTATCACATCCTCTATTATGGCACAGTAGTAGTAGGCCTGAGGAATAACAAGCAAATGAGTATGTTCCCCAACACATTTATCATAAATAAGTACATCTATCAGCAACAAGACTCACACATGTCCTACCAATAAGCACAGGTTCAAGAGGAAAGAGTTAAGTTATTTTCCAGGAAAGTACATATTATATTTTAGTAAGATTTTCCACCAACTTAGTTTTTTCTTCAATAGTACAATATTCATAATGAAGTATTACTGAATTTCAGTAATCATTAAACAAATATATTTCATTCCCATATTGTATACAAAAGGCTCTCTTCTAGGCCCCATAAATATAAGCCAGACAAGATCCTTGATTGACTGAGATTACATTCAAACAGGTATATGATATGGTAATGACTGATAGCTAATATTAGAAAAGATCAGCAGATTTATTAACTGTGTTATTTGTACTTTTATTTCCCAATTGCCCTACCCTGCATTGAAGAAAGTTTTGCTTTTTGATGTCAGTAAATGAAATTAAGCTTGGATTTCACAAACATGGTTGAATTTAAGAAATGTTCTGTTCTTGCATGGACAGTGCTCAACCAGTACTTCCAGGTACCAGTATCCATTTAGGAGCCCAGTTTCAGCTACACGAGAAGTTTAAAGTACACAAACTGCTAATAGACCAGAACTGTAATTTATGAATTTGCTCATTATTAGTCTCTAAGAAACTAGCTCTTTATTTATTATTCTTATCAAACATTTTTTTATTTCTCTTTTTGAGACAGGGTCTCGCTCTGTCACCCGGGCTAGTGGCATCAGCATAGTTCACTGCAACCTCAAACTCCTGGCCTCATGTCTCAGCCTTCTGAGGAGCTGGGACTACGAGTAGCTGGGACTACAGGCATGCGCCACCATGCCTGGCGAATTTTTCTATTTTTTGTAGAGATGAGATCTTGCTCTTGCTCAGGCTGGTCTCGAACTCCTGGCCTCAAGTAATCATCCTGCCTTGGCCTCCCGGAGCTAGGATTACAGGTTTGAGCCCCCACATCTGGCTGAAACTGGCTCTTTAAATATATGTACTTAAAGACTATGAAATCGCTTGGAAACTAGAACTGCTATGTAGTAAGCCATAATATTTATATTATTTAAATAATTTTTAACAAAGTAATGCCAGTCATTGTGAGAAGCCTATTATCAAAAAACCCAGCAGTCTCCTTTGCTACTTTCTCTTTCCATTTCCTAGAGACAGTCAGTTTTAAAATCTATAGCTATGTCTTACACTATTTATCCTCTGTATTTTATAATATATGTACACTCTATCTTGATGATTCAGTTTTAGATATTATCCACTGACTATTAAGATAAATTTTATGTGGATTATTATGAGGTTTTTTAACACATTGACATACTTCCCTGTTCCCTCTGCCATCCTCCCAATACAGTGATAATGCAATTTTTACATAAATACACATTCAGTTTACTCATTATTAGGCCTAAGTGAAGAATTGCAATTTCAAGTGTCTTTAAGATCAGTTTTAAGTTATCCACAGTGACTGACATGGGAACTGAAGTCACTGAAAATGTTAACATCTTTTGGGAGCAATACATCTACCTCGAGATCAAGAGACACCAACAGAAAAGTTAAGTTTGAATATGAAGATGACAAAAGCAGTTCCTGGACCTGAGGTGTAGTACTCAATATTATGCATTGTTAATTCTTAAGAACTCATTTTAAGGTTCATATAGTTGTGTTAATTTTTAATAAAGCTCCACTGGACTCCACACTTTCAAGCTGGATGAATTTTATTCCAATATTTGCCTTTTTTGAATTGAAGGCAATGTGGTGATCCAGCAGAACACTTTTCTTATTAAATTTGCAAATTATAAGGTAGGAAAGCATATATTTTATTTTCTAGGGTCATGAAAATATGTAACAACAAAGAAGCTTTTTAAAAGATTCTATTTGCTAGTTTTAATAGAAACCAATAAGTAAGAACTATTTAAAAGGGAGAATGGACTAACATTTATATAAAGACACAAAACAATTCATCAAAACAATCACCATAATAAGAAACAAATGTGTTATAACTCACAGCAGGGTAAGACCAATAATAAGTAGCAATAAGATACACACATTTGGCGAGCACAAAAGGGCCATCTTTACTTGGGCTCATGTCTGCTCTCTGATTATTGATTTCTTTTCAATGAGATTTATAAAAATATGTCTAACGTCTTGGTCATATATTCTAAATTTTCACATTGGGATTATTGCTATAGTTTAGGTAAAAGAAGATTATTGTCAACAAATGTCCCTTTTCGCCCTTCATTTGCTCATCTGAAGTTAAGCTACATATCTTTCTTTATATTCACTCTCCTGTCATTTATCTTCAATCCTCACACTTGAAAACAGCCTTCCCTACTCACCAACTGAATATTACACATTCACACACTTTTCGAAAAAAAATTCTGAGGTACTGGTGACATTTTGATATAGTATAAAATATTAGTTATCTAATCTATACTTCTCTCCCATCATAGAATTTTAGAACTGGGAAAATATAAAAGAGATAACACCCTTACCTAGTCTAACACCCTTATAATGGAGAATCCATTGTAGTCTGGTTGCCTGAAGTTATGTAGCTAGTTAGTGAAAGAACTGGGATTAGAATTCACGTATCAGGATTCCCAGTTCATTGTTTAATTTCTCTCAAAGTCTAATCATGGTATTTATCCTTTAATAAAACATTTGAGCAAAGATACTTTTGGTTTTCTGACTTTTTAATGCAGCCTCTCTTACCTTTTTATTCATATATAGATAAAATCCTAAGATAATTCCTAAAGAATTCTCTATATTTTCTAGTTGAATTGGCACCTGATTTTAACAAATACTGGTTGAAACAAATGAAAGGAGAAGCCTTCCTGACGCACTCAGAGTCAGGCACTCCCTTTCCTCTGCGCTTTCACAACACTGCTCATTTAGTCCAGTATTTATTCACTCATTCCATAAACACTAAGTCTACAATAAACCAGGAACTACGCTGGGCAGTGAGGGATATGAAAATCTGAACAGATAATTATAAAACACAATGTGATAACTGCTATAACAGAAGTTTATATAGAGTAAAAGAGGATTGGGATGAATAGCTAAATATGCTAGGAAAAATAAAGAAAGGCTTCTTAGAGAAAGTAACATGTAATCTGACTTTTAAAAAGGAGGAACAGGAATTTACAAAGTAGACAAAGGAGAAAGGTGTTTCAGATGGAGGGAATTCCATGTTCGAAAATAAATCAAACTATAATAAGTTATTCTTTTATTCTAGTCTTCATCATATTGCACTGCAATTTGTTTATGTATCTGTATATAGTTTATGGGCTTCTTTGAGAACCAGAATTTTACTTTGTTTTTATTTCCTACAGTGCCTAGCATACAGTAAACATTTAATATATTTTTGCTGACTGAATGAATTAGTATTTTTGGTAATTATTTTTCTAATCATATCAGATTAATATCATTAGAGATTGGGTCTGTATTGCAATAGGACTCTAGTGGTACACCTAAGTTTTGTTTTTTTTTAAACAAACAAAAACACTCTTTGTACATACTTTTTGAGGGTATACAATCTCTTCCCGGAGGAAGGTGTTTTCTCCAGCATTCTTATCAAATAGACCCCAGTCCATCTTCAGATCCCAGATGAGGGTATAGCAGGAACTGATGATACAAAAGATGATCCACAGGTAAAAGAACACCATGGTGTCCGAGTGACCTCGTTCTGAAGACAGAAAAGGGAAAGGGAGAAGAAAAAATTACTACATTTAAATAAAATTCTTCATTAAATAAAACGAATTAAAAACCAGATTCTTTATACAGCTCCAAAAGAAAGACTTTAAACAAATCTTAGGAGGATCGCTAACAAAGGTTAAATAAATATTATTTCCCTGAGATCCAAAGTAATCATCACTTATTGAACACATGATATTTGTACAAATGTGCATTTGGAGTTTGGGAGGCTCCATGCTGATAAAAATCCAAATGATTGCAAAAAAGGTTTTGAATGTTACAAAAGATGTCATTTTGATTTTTGTCACTAGGTGGCAGCTTTGGGTAAAATACGAAAAAAAAAAAAATCCTGAAACTACTACAGAGGAACGTGCTGCATCTGCTTCAAGAAATTCTTGGATCGTTTTTACTGTAGAACATTTCCTTTATACACTGAGGTTTTGCCAATAAATACTTACTGCAAAAGCAATCAGATAATTCTAAGTCTAGATAAAATGCAAGAAAACAGACTGATGAGGAATTTACCCTTAAGGACATATATAAAAGCAAATTTCTCTCAAGTCACAAAGCAAAGCATGGTATTTTTGCTTCTTTTAGAGGGTGTTTATTGATACAAAGGCCTAATATGAATTAATGCTGGGAGCACTAATAAAGTGCTTTATGCTGAAAACACTATAAAGCACGCTAACTCAGAATAATAATTTGTAAATGTAGTTACACAATTTGGTATTTTTTGCTCTTAAGTGCTTCATACATTCCCTAATGAAATTCTTCTTTGGTAAGTTCCAGAGTCATCTTGATGTTATATGTGTTCTCCAGGTGCAGGTAAATAACTGTTAACATGGTTCTGAATCATTCAGACAAAAAGGCATACAACATCTAATTCAAAAAAGTTTAAATTCTGGTCATTTTCTCAAAGGTATAGAAAGCAAAGGATATATCATGTATCATGCATAATCCTTCCTATTAAATAAACAAATGTCTATTAATCACTTTAAGGTTATATTAATATGTTAGATACAGTATGATTCAAAGGCACCCTTTATTTTCTCTTTTTTTCTATTTTTTTTTGGAGACAGGGTCTCACTCTTGCTCAGACTGGTCGTGAACTCCTGAGCTCAAGCGATCCTCCCTCCTTGACCTCCCAGAATGCTAGGATTACAAGCATGAGCCACTGCGCTGGGCCCAAAGGCATCCTTTAGAAATTCGTAATCTAGTGAGTGAAAAAGACATCTGTTACTGATGATAAATTTGAACTCAAAATGAAGTATACACAAAGTGGATGAGAACATCAAGGAGAATGGGAATGTTTCTAAAAGTAGGAAGAAAGAGGAAGTAGCATTTGTGTTATTTCTAGAAGGACAAATAAATAGTACTGCACAAGTCAGGCACATGAGGTAAGATCATTCAAGGCTGAAGATAATGAGAAAGCATGGGGATAGGAAAGTGCAAGGTGTGTGTGAAAAGCTACAAGTAATCTGTATCTAGTGTAAGTGAGGATGTAAGAGAATTGATGTGATTTGAAATGAGGCTGGAAAAGACATTTTGGGTCTGACTGTAGAATGCCTTCTTGGGCCTTACGATCAGATCTGTGTTTTAGAAAAATAACTGGTTGGCAGGTTACTTGCATCAGAATTAGTTGGTTAAAAAAATAAATACCTCAGAGCTCCAGTGTTGTGTTAGAGTTAGTTTTTATCAGCTCATGAGAGCCAACTGTTAAATTTTCAGAAATTTTGGCAGCTGGTTGTTAAACACAGTCATTATTAAAATTACATAAATTTACAATTAGTTATATGAAAAACAAAGGTAAATGCTCAAAATTCATCACTTCTTAATTATTTTACTAAACTTTGCTATCTTCCGTTCTCTTGAGGTTATATACATATACCTTTGTGACGGAAATACTATACAATGCTGTGCTACTCCACACCCTTTCCCAACTCCACATTCGATGTTATCATCTTAGTAGCTTGAAATTGACTATGGTGGAAATATTTACACCATGAAAATTGGCAAACACTACAAATCAATGCTCTCCATCCCCACTTCCCATCCAAGGGCTGGTTTGTTAAACATATATCAGCACAGCACTATTTAGCTGTTTCTCTCAGAAAGTCAGTGGTAAGGAAAAGAAAGATGTATTTTAAAAATGGCCTGCAAGTGATTCTAATGAGCAACCCCACTTGGATATAAACACATTTTCAGGTTTAAACTATTTCCAAAAAACATTTTCTTCATCAAAAGAAAACTGAGGCTGGGTGTGGTAGCTCACACTTATAAGCCCAGCATTTTGGGAGGCTGAGGTGGGAGGATCGCTTGAGGCCAGGAGTTTGAGACCAGCCTGGGCAACACAGTGAGACCCCAGCCCTACAAAAAATAAACAAATTAGCCGGGCATGGTGCCATGTGCCTGTAGTTCTAGCTACTTAGGAGGCTGAGGAGTGTACTGCACTCCAGCCTGGGTGACAAAGTAAAACCCTGTCTCTTAAAAAAAAGGGGGGGGGGGAAGAAAGAAAGAGAAAATTGAGGTGAATATTTATACTACATTATATCATATGAATTATCAATTTAAAACGTATAACAAATTATTTACTTATTATGTAGGTATAGTTGCATGTGTTTTGACATGTGTTTATTTCATTCTACATAAAGATACAGGGTCTAGCTGAGTAGGAATCATTCAATAATTAGTGTCATGGCTGCATTAAAAAAGATGCTATAAAGATGTTATTATATAATTTACCTACTAAGGTTTGCAAAGAATAAAGCGAATCCAGCAACTTAATAAAATTTACTTTTATATTTACAAAACAAGATCAAAACTAAGAGATAAAAACAAGAAACTATTAATTATGTTAGCACTCTTTTTTTAATTGAATGCTTAATATATGCCAGGTACTTTACATATATTATCCCATTTCATTTTCCCAAAAATAAGCTATCATTTTGTTTGCTAGTAAAAGTTAGGACATGGGAAAAGAGTAGTAATAGATACATTCAATAGGAGGTAACAAAATGAGTATTTCTCAGGTAAGAATAGGTAATATCAAGTCTTAATACTGACAGCTGATTTTCTTTCCTTCTTTACTAATTACTGAAGAAATAATTGAGTATAAATTATTATATAAAAGGAGATGGGGGAGTAAAACCAGTTAAATAAAAAGGGGATTAATAATGAAACTAAAACCAGTGTGCTAATTTTCTGGTATTTCTCCTAGATTTTAAGTCTTGTCCTTAGAGCGTAATTCTTACAATGGTACAATGAGTCAGGATCGCTCTCTTTCCTAAGTCCGTATTATTTCTATTAACTTTCTATGAAAAATACATGAGAATTTATTGACTTTTAAATAAATATTCTTATGAAATATTTCAGTATAAGTAATGTTTTATCTCATGGACTTCTTCAAACAATGATTAGCATTTACCTGGTCTATGAATGCTACATTTTGGTCTCATTTTAATTACTACCATTATTTGATCTTTTCCATCTCCGAAATGAAGAATGCCTCTCCCTGAAATCATTTGCCTTCATTGGTATTCAGGAGAGGTACTGGAAAGATATTATCACTTTAGGCAAGCAATTACATCTTATTCTCTCTTGGCTAATCCTGGTAGCCCACTTTAGTGATGTTCAGAATCACAGAAAATCAAGTCATTGCTATTCTACTCTAAGCTTCTATTACACACCTGCCACATTAAAAACATAATTAACATTGGACACATTTATAGTAATAGTATCCACTGAATCTAAAACAAACAAAATATACTTCTTGGAGTTTTGCATCCATAGCCACTGTAGGAATGATAAAGGAAAACAATATGTCAGTAAAAGTGCTAAAGAGAGAAGCCAGAAAAATTACATATAGAAATCATCTTGAATCGTGTTTCAGGAAGGAGACCTTAAAAATGAAAAATGTGGCACCATGTGAAGAAAGAAAGTGAATGGTTTTCATTTTACCTAAAAACCTCACTATTATTTTACTAGTTTGAAATTAAATAAGAAAACAAAATAGACTGAACATAGTTCTCAAAGCCCAAACCTATATAGGTGAGCTGAATTATAACTGAGTTTATAGCATCTTAGTAAATCATGGATCTATCACCTAAAAAAAAAAAAAATCAAACCACTGAATTGTGAGATTAAATGAATATTGTTCTCTGAAAAAATTAACAAATATAGATATTCCCCTGACCTTTAGTGTTTTAGTTAACATGTGAGATCACATGTATTTCTCCCTCAGGTAATTACCATCCTTAGGGCAGGCAAGGCAGACATTATTACTTCCATTTTACAGTTACGGAAACTGAAGTTCAGAGAGATTGTCAATAATGGCAATGAGAAAAACAACTTAATGACAGAGGCTTTTCCACTGGAAACTAGAGAGGACAGAGGGAAGTGACAAAATTTTTCAAGTACTAAAAGAAAGAAACTGTTAATATAGAATGCTATATCCAGCCAAAGCATCCTTCAGGAATGAAGGGGGAAAGCAATACATTCTCAGATGAAGAAAAACTTACAGAATTTGGCACCAGCAGGCCTCCCCTAAAAGAATGGTCAAAAAAAGTTCTTTAAATAGAAAGTAAACAATAAAAGAAGGAATCTTGCAATATCAGGAAAGAAGGCAAGGAACGGTATGCAAAAAATATGGGTAAATGCAGGAGATTTTCCTTCTCTTGAGTTTTCTAAATTATGTTTGAAGGTTGAAGCAAAAATTACAACACTATCTGACGTGGTTCGACATGTATTTAGAGGAAATATTAAAGACAATTAAATGATAAATCGGGGAGGGTCAAAGAAAGTAAAGGGCGATTAGGTCTCTACACTTAACATGACCTGTTAAAATGAAGACACTTGAGACTTTAACATAATATACATAAACATTACATATGTAATACATATGTATGTTATATATATATATATTATACATACATACTTAGAGCAACCACTTAAATAGTTATACAAAGAGATATAAGAATACTAAAAATAATGTAG